CACAGAAACAAACAGAGAAGGTCTCCACCAGATAATTATGTGATTTTATTTGTAGAAGTGTGTGAAGAACTTGTGATAAGTAATATTGATACAAAACGACAAATTTGCAAAACCACAATTCCTTATTACTTACACAGGACAATTCTCCAGTAGGTTTATAAATTTTACATTAGGATAAACAAGCTTTCATGAACTAAACCAAGTAACTATTGATGAACCACATAACAAATACCATATTTGTCCATTCAGCTCAAGCATTTTCCCAATAAATCCATCCTTGTGAAAAATTGAAAAATATACATTTAAAGGAAAATCTTCAATTATTAAATCTCAAATTTTGAGAAATCAGTTAACTTTAACTGAAAAGAAATTGAAAATCTGTGCCTGGCATAATTTTCATCACTCTTCAAATCATTAAGCATAGTTCATCAGAAGCCATGTCAATTCCAAGAAATATGCACCCATATGGAAGATATATGAATGCACTGATTAGTTTTTGTCTAAGCATGAAACATATATGAATGCACTGCTCAACTGGCAGCTAAGAAATCTCCAAATTTCTCTGTTTAAGATCCTAAACGATGGGTTTAGTAACAGTAAAGATACTGCCCAACATAAAGCACAACCAATAGAATCTTCATTCAATGTCAATTCATTCAAAATGACGGTAGAAATTAAAAACCTCATGATTGGCCTTGAAGCACATGATTTCCTCGGCTTTCAATACCATAACAGGAAGCTTCTTTTGCCATTCTTTATTCTCCTTAGTTGGAGCGCAGTGATTCTCATGTACAAGCCTAGTCAAATACAGTGAATATTGAACAAATTTCACCTGAAAAACAACAAAATAAGTTCAAGAAAGACAATCAAGAAAGGAAGTTTTCACAAGTTTCCTTCTTTCTCATACCAATCCTCTAATAGTTGATGGCACACAACAGTAATAGACAATCCTATTTCTCATAAGACACAATCATCAATAAATTAATCGAAGTTGATAGATCATAGATGAAACAACGTTTGGCATCACATCTCCAAGTAATGGTATACCTAGGCTGTCAGCAACATGTTTGGCATATACTTGAAAAGCATTATCAATTTCACGAACAAGGCAACTCAATTCTCCAGGCCTCATTCGAATATTAAGAGCAAAGAACTGATCAACCGTCTGCAAAGAAAGATGAAATGATAATCATCAGATTAAGTTCGCATTCTCTTGGAAAAGATTAAATTAAGATGAATGGATATGTTAAATTTAAGTCAGGTACAACCATAGAATATGCTTCCTCTTCCTCTACATCACAAGTTATTCTTAGCTAGATGGTTTCTGCCTTCAACAGCCACTTAAAATGCCTTATATCATTCATTTCCTAGAGATTTTTCTGTTCCTCAGTAGCCACTCAATGTCTCCCAATACAATATTTTTTAATTCATGGACATCCCATTGAGGCACTGTCTGCAAAAACGATAGAAGAAAACAAAACTCGCGATCTCTTTGACAAACGACATGCGTACAAACAGATAGAGATACATATATAACCATAAAAATAGAGAATTATAATTATAAAGAGTAAAAGGCCTAGCATGTTGAGATGGGAAAATTGGCAAAAGGATTCTATTGAGGATTTGGAAATCATTTTTTTCAGGTTCTCGCCAATGCTTTAAATTAAAATGTTTTAACCAAACTCTAAAAATGCACATTCCCTCTTTTAATATAGTAGATATTAAAATATTTTTAATAAAAAATAAACATAGTAGAGTGCACAAATGAACATTGTTGGACTCATCCCCTCTTTTAATGTAGTAGGAAATAAACATCCAAATCACATTGAATTATATTCTGATAAAAATATATATATTGCATGTTAATGAATTTCCCACCGTTTTATACTATATGTCCCCAAAAAATAAGCATTTTATTCTATTTCCTTTGATTTTGCATGACCTTGGGCTCATAATTCAACTTTATAACAATATATACATTGCTAGTTAATGAATTTTCCACTGTTTTATTCTATTGGGACCAAAAAAATATCATCTTATTCTGTTTCCCTTCAATTTTGCATTACCTTTGGCTGATAATTCAACTTTAACAATTTAAAGAATAACAACATTATGCATTGAAAACTAAATTTTCACTATAAAACCTACTCTTGTATTTTCGTAAACAATGCCCATTCCTTAAGCATTCCAAATTACCCATTTTATATATAGAAACTTGCATACAACTCTCAAGAGTTTTACACAAAATTAAAACAAATTAATCCTAAAGTATATAATAAACTGTTAGAAGAATACAGTTTTGAGCTTGTATTACAATTTCATATTTAATCCATGGCACAGAAAGGGATCATAGAGGAAACAGAAAATGTACTTATATTTACTTTTAGCGTGAAAATACTTGAATCAGTGATTGAGAGATATAAGAATTTGTCTACAAAACTGATCATTTGCCAGTCTCTGAAAAACTGCACAACATAAAGCACAACCAATAGAATCTTCATTTGAATTCATTCAAAATGACGGTAGAAATTAAAAACCTCAGAATTGGCTTTGGAGTACGTGATTTCCTCGGCTTTCAACACCACAACAGGAAGCTTCTCTTGCCATTCTTTATTCGTAATTCTCATGTACAAGCCTAGTCAAATAACATTTAACGAATTTCACCTAAAAAACAAGAAAATAAATTCAAGAAATACAAAACCCAGTACCTGAAAATCTGTCTAATAACTAAACCTCTCATGGGTTGGTGTCTATGACTGTGCCAAACTCTTCGCACACACTCATATGGTATGGGACCTGCCTTGGCATCTTCCTTCACCTCTTCAAAAACTCTACACCGTGCGTGTGCCCAATTATATCAAGAAAATGAAATCAGCTTTATACAGAAAGAAATTTTTCTACAATAGATTAGGTCAAAGTTAAGAATTTGGAAGTCAGTTCCGTGCTGCACGGAGCTGGGAGCGAGAACTCGAGAAGAAGAGCCGGATGGGGAAGTCAGTTCCGGTGCTTTCGCGCGCACGGGAGCTCCCCGTGTGCGCACGGGGAGTTTAAGTGGATTTTTTATTTTTCTTTTTACAACTGTGAAAAAAAATATTTGTTTACAATTAATATTCGATTTTAACAAATATATTGATGTAGTACAATTAGCGTTTTAATTTCAAGAGGAATTGGACCGTAATTACTACTAAGTNAAATAATAAATGTAGGTATGTTGAATTTTGGAATTTTTTTTTAACTGAAAGTTGGAACTTTATTTTTTTTTGGATTTTGTGTGTTTTTTATTGACTAATAATATGTTATTCGGTCATAAAATATCAACAGAAAATACGGCGGGAAATGTAAGTCGGTTAATAAAGTCGGCCACAAATGATAACCTGAAACCAGTTTAAGTGTGAAAACAAGGGTGCAAAAATGAACAGTAACTTTGCTATCCCCTCCTTTAATAGAGTAGTGATATAAAATCCCGACTGCAATTACCAATATTCATATGGCTTTCACTAATCCAAACTAGGGTTTATGAAATTATTACTTATTGATTGTCAATTTGAACCCTTGTGAGTCGCTAGGAGTCATCATCTCCTCTCTAACACGTCTACCTACTGTAAACTCCCGATCCTCACCCACCTCAACACCGTGTGATAGAAGCGATGTGGAGTTGGCGTTGCTTGGGGGTTTGGAGACTTTTTTTAGTATGAAAGATTTAAATTAAGGGATAATGTTTTTTTCTCGAGATTTGAATTCAACTTCAATTCAATTTATACGGGCATGTCACTAATTTTATTTCTAAAAGTTGGAACAACAACAACTCTTACGGATTACTTGACCGTGGTGATGTATAGCCTCAACTAGTAAGAAGTCTAGGAAGAGGCTGTTAAAACTTTAAGTGCGTGTTCGATCGTACTTGATATCCAATTAAAATTAAAAATATAGTCGTTATTGGGTCACTTGTCTAATAAAAATCAATAATGATGACTAATTTTTCAATTTTAATCTCTACCGAACACCCCATAAGTCTTATGGGTTGGCTCACCAAGGACTTGGAAACCAAGCAAATTAAGCCCCTGTTTGATTATCGTTATAAAGAGAGATTGAGAAAAATCGATATTTTGAATATTGATTTCTTGAGGAATGTGCGATTAAAAAGTATGAAAAAATTTTGAATTTACGTACATAATATTTTATTGTATGAATATATAGTTGAAAATTAGTATGAAAAATAAAGATTTTTAATTTAAATAGAAATAAACAGGAGCTAGTCTTAATGTTGATGGCCAAAGGGGTCAAGACGAGCGCTGGGTGAGCTCAACGTTTTTAACAAGATTCTAAAATGTAATTTTTATCAAACTCATTTTCAACTACATATGTTATAGACCAACAATTTTTATTAACTTTCCAATCATATATTTTATCAATTTTTTATTAAAATCCACTAAAAAATTAATTTTTAGTTTGATCATTGTTTCGTGAAGAATTTTTTTTTTTTTTTTTTTATTTTAGAAAAACGCTTTCAAATATAACAATTCTTACAAGAAAACTCATTTTCTTTTTCTTTTATTTTTTTTCCTTTTTACTTTAAATATTCCTCTCTATCTCATTTTTGGTCCCCAAGTGAATACCCTTACTCAATCATGCAATGATAAAGCAGTCTAAATTAGTAGACATGAAGAACACTCTTACTCCTGCTAGATTCGATCGAAATGGACACGTAGATAATTTTAAGTTTTCAAGTAAATTCGACGACCCTTTCAAACGGAAACTTAGAAAACTCACATGTCGTCGTTGTCCGACCAATTAAGTTATAATTTGCAGCATTTTCATTTGTATCCAAACAAAATTATTTCAAGGCCTATATAAAGGACCCCTTCATAGTCTCCAAGGCACATCAAATAACCTCAGCCCATAACTCCATTGAAATCTCTCATCCCACTCCCACCGTACCCACTCTTCTATTGTAGAAAAAGAGGAAGAAATAGATACACCAATAGATACATGCATATACCATGGCGTTTGATCAACCTCTAAAAAAGAAAAGCCAGTTATTATTACTATCAGTTTCTGTATTTTCATTCATATTTTCCTACTCATTATGGTGTTCATCTTTACTGTATTCTTTCAAAGTTTACTTCACCGCATATCCTATTCAACTTGTGACCCATGCATTGAACAAAAACTGCATTTTTCTCCTCTGTAATGGGCTCCTAGTTTTCCTTGCAAAAACATCGGGTTTGGTTCATTCTCGTGCAGGGTTTGATCTCAATGACCTCTTACAGAAGAAGATTGGCGATGGCCTGCAAACGTTATCTCTTGATCATGAAAATGAATCTGCTTCCGTAGAAACACTAATAGAAAACGTGACAACAGCGATGGAAGATCAAGATCGGGGACAGTCGGAAAATTGTGAGGGAGAAGGCAAAGAAGAAGATCAGAAAGTATATGAAGAATCAAAATCAGAACCGGACGACGACGAAGAAGAAATTTTAAACATAAACGCAGAACAAGATTATAAGAAAGAAGAAGAAACTTTGGACTTGATTGCATTTGAAGAACAAGATTATAAGGAAGATGATAATGATGCAGAATGTGAAAGTACAGAAGAGTTGAACAAGAAATTCGAAGATTTCATAAGAAGGATGAAGGAAGAAATTACAACTACTGCCTAAGTAAATTATCGAAATAATTCAATAGAAAATTTAATCATCCTCTGATCATGATCTTGTCGATCGACTATATTACCTTCTTTTTCCTTTTAATTTTTTAAAATATTTTCTCCTTTTCAGATGAGTGATAGGGATGTAAAAGCTCCTTGTATCATTTTGGAAATAATATATATACGTTATTAAGAGGGTGTTTGGTGGGGATTAAAATTAGATTTTTAGTAAATTGTGATAGAAATTTTTGAAATGTGTGTTTGAAAAGTTGTAGAACCCATGAAAGATGTGGTTAACATTGATTGTTTGACTTTGATTTGAATTAAAATCAGATTTTAATCGGAACCAAACAGGGGCTAAGGCTATAACATGTGTAAAATTATGAGTATTATATCACTACAAGAAACTGAAAATTAACATAGGTTGTTAAAATTATGCTTTACAATTATAATTAAACTTTTGAGATTTGATACTCAACGCCGTGAAGAGTCCAACTAAAGACTCATGTGAGATGTGAGCATATGTGGTTGAAAAATAATTTTTGAATTCAAATGGAGCCCTAAGAGGCTAAGATTCTTCTTCTTGGGGCGGTGTAAAAGTACATGCACTCAGACAGTTTTTAGTTGGGAATCCATAAAGAAAGTTATCTTAATATACTTATGGATATTAGGTATCTCACGGGTTTGATCTTCTGCCCACTGTGGACAGGAGTTATCTTATCCACCATGGACATATGAACATCTTGTGTTGTCACGAATATCAGGTGTTGTCATGTAGCAATGACAAGAGATCATTTCTGTACATATACATTGAACTCTTTCATTAATCAATGTCTAATAAGAACACTTGGATACTTGACGTAATAAAGAAAATATATGTATAGATAAGAAAGTAACTAAAAGGTAATTAAACTCAACCTTGTGTTTGAGGTGCTCCTTTTTTGGTTTTTTACACAAGTTTCATATCGTTCGTGAGATGCAAAACAAGCGAACACAACTGAAATTAACGGCTAAGAAATACTCAACTGGTACTTGACGTAATAAAGAAAATATATGTATAGATAAGAAAGTAACTAAAAGGTAATTAAACTCAACCTTGTGTTTGAGGTGCTCCTTTTTTGGTTTTTTACACAAGTTTCATATCGTTCATGAGATGCAAAACAAGCGAACACAACTGAAATTAACGGCTAAGAAATACTCAACTGGCTAAGTTCCTTAGGGTGTATATGCATTGGAGGTTGATCGCAACACGCTCCAAGTACCACACGTAACACGTTAGGGATACATTTTATCAATCAAGTATAATAATCAACATAAAAAAATTTGAACTGTATTCATTTTTTTTATATATATTATCAACATAAAGAAACACATTCTCGCAAAAATTTATTCTTTCAAAATTCATTTTCAATCGCACATTTTTCAATAAAATAATATTACACGTAAATTTAAAAATTTTCCTTATTTTTTAACCACATATTTTCCATCACATCACATTTTAAAATGCATTTTTTCTCTACAATGTGCATCAAACACCCCCTTCAATTTAGGGTTGAGAATCACTTTGATGATTAAATAATAATATTATCCAAACATGCACGTAATCTATATTAAACAATTTCTTTTTTTTTTTCTTTCGTTTGAGTTATCACAATGAAATTAATGAAGGCCAATGGACAAGCCGATGTGGCAATATTGCATCCCCGTTATGTAAATAGTGATCGAGAATAATCTTATCAACGTTTCATACGTGGAAAATAAAAAACATGATTAGAAATTCAGAAATTAATATATATTTATTTGCTACATGAAAACAAATATGAAGAAGTAAAAGCACCAACTCCGTGTGTTCTAAGGTAGTTTAATTCTCTTGCTTAATGAATATTTTTTAAGGGACGAGAATGTAACTTTTATTAGTGTGCTTTAAGAAGCAGTCGTATGCCCATTTGACAAAAAAATTTATCTGATTAAAAGGGCTTTTAGAGCTAGCTATTCTAAAATAGCTTTCTCAAAAAATTATTCCACAAGAAGTAGAATCCCTGCCAAACGAGCTATTAATTGGTAGCGATATGTTATTCTTATTTGAAAATGACTTTTAATAGTCGTCTTCTAACATGGTACCATCCAAGCGGCCAACGAATTTTTTTTAACATGCTTTTCCGGTTTTTAAAATATGTGGCCATCATACCCAAGCTTTCATTTTCGAATCTGCCCATCTTCCCTTGATCCAATATATGGATTTTAGTGTATGTTTGTCTTTCATTATTGTAGAAGAAATTGAGTGATGAATAGTATTTTTTGAAAAATGTGTGGTTGAAATTTAAAGTAACTTTATTACTTTGTGTGTAGAATATTTTATTAAAAAAAAAAAGATGAACCACATCCTTGGCGGCCCCACCTGCCATGTCCTGCCCTAGGCCTTGGTGAAGGAGGTAAATCGCAGGTTATGCCTCCAAGAGTATAGGGTAGAAGGCTACTTGAACTTACCCAATGGTCAAATCCATTTTTCAGGATTCGAACTCTTAACGCGGTAGTCTCAAGCAAAGTTGGAGTTTTTCCACCTTCCCCTTTTACCACTTGGAGATGTGCCTTGGAGGTGTGTAGAATATTTTATTGGATGAATGTGTGATGGAGAATTTTACTGTAGTAAACAATGTTGTGAAATAATGGGAGACAAACGGGCCTTATTAACCATCTCATTAATAAAATAAAGTAAATGTTTCCCAATTAAAGCTCCGGATCAGGTATAATTTTCTTTGTAAGAGATGATGAGATTTAAATTCAAATTTTTTTTTTTTTTTATATTAGTCATCTCATCTAGAATGTTTAAATTATTTTTTAAGACTGTCCAAATGGGCGTCTCGACCTTCAATCAATTTCATAATTAATCGAGCGATTAAGAGCTCATGTATATTTTACGCAAGTTTATGAAATCATAAATTGATCAAAATGATTGATGATAAGTGGGTCATAATTGTGGATCATACGAAATGCGTAATCAACTTAGCAAAACCTATATATATGCATCGAATAAAGGTAATTGGCCTAAGAAGAGAGTCATCTCTTCTTTGAGTCGAAACTAAAGCAGCAAAAATGAAATTCTCTTTGCAATAATGCCCGATCCTGAAGTTGGCACTAATTGAGTTGTAGATTATGAGCTTACCGATTCAAAGCTATCATGAGATTGGGAGAGGTTTTCATGTTGGGCTCTCGGAAGCTCATATCTGTTGCTTCTGAGTGATACTGGACCAACCAAAAAAAAAAATCCCTTTTAATGAACAAAAATTTCAAACACTTTTACACACCCACATATGTTTTTAAATTTTCAAATTCAAAAATCAGATTTAAAATTTTTTTATTACAAAATCAGGTGATAATTCATAATTTTCATTGTCTGCGCGACATTTTGCACAACAACGTTCACACAAATGCAGGGGTGATGAAGTTATGGGGTAGTTTTTTAAGTGGTTTCTTCCTCTGGTCTCGTGCTTACTCGGAGTTTTGGGTGGTTTGCAAATGATGGTGGTAATGGTGATGGTGAGGTGGTGGTAGTGGTGCTCCTAGTTTGTGGTGTTGGCGACGGTAATACAAGTGGTGGTGCTGGGTTGTGGTGGTCACAAATTTGTGATTTGTAATTGAGAAATAATACGTGGCTAATTAATTCGTGACCAATAAATAAGTTGTGATTTGTGACTTGATCTTTTGTGATTATAACTAGTATGCAACTTTGATCATAAACTGTATAATATTGTAACCTTAGTATATTTTAATTAGTAAATTATTATTAATTATTTAATTAATAGATAAAATTTAATTATGACTTGATTTTTGAAAATTTGAAACAAATTTCTTAATTTTGAAATTGTATCTTTCAAACACCTTAAGTCCCTGTTTGATATTTTAATTTAAGTTAAAGTCAACAATTAATTTTAACCACACATTTTATGAGATCAACAACTTTTTAACCATATATTTCATCATTTTTTATCACAATTTACTAAAAATATAATTTCAATCTCGATGAAATGGGGACTAAATATTTAATGTTCCTTTAAAGTTTTAGATTGTGAGTCTAGACATCTCACCTGAATTTACAAAGACAAACTTCCATTCAGATATGTTTTCAATACCGAATTACCTCTATTAGCCAAAAGTATCATTTTTATTTTCTATTTTAACCTTATTTATTTAGAGCGTGTTTGTGAGTAATTTTTAATCAAAATTATAGCTATTATAGTCAACCTGTGGGCCTCACCTGTGAGAGGGAAAGTCAAAAATGGTGTCTGATTTGATAGTTAACGGCTAGAATTTTGATTAAAATTTTGATTAAAATCTTGATTAAAAATGATATTTAACTATCCTTTTTTGTCATTTTTAAGATATTTTACTTAAATGCTAACATTAATTCTATCTAAAATAAGTCACTAAAATTATGTCATAAATATTTTCGTTGATCTTTATTTTTTTGCTCGTAAAATTAAGTTTAAAATGTATTCTTATTATGATATAAAAAAATACAAGGACGAATGACATGAAGTAAAAATTAAAGTTTTTCTCGTTTTAGATATCTTATTCCTTTCTAAGAAAATATAGAACTTCTGACAAATATATTGAATGTAATTATTCGTGAAAAAAGACAAATAATAGAATAAACATAATTCTTTTAGCAAACTAAATTGGAAATAATGGAAAATTTATTAGATGTCTACAATAATGAGTTAATTAAATTACCAATCACTAACATTTGCCTTACTGCTCTCTCACCCAAAAATAAAATGTTACTAACTACTCGTCCAATTTTTTTCAAAAATTACTCATCCATCACCCATTTTAATTCCATCCATCCATCCAACTAGACAAAAAAGTCCACGTCGCGAATGGAAATCGTACGTGGCCACTAACACCGTTGAAAAATGACATGTGGATTAATTCATTTCTATTAAAAGCGATTTCCCAGGTAGATTAATTTATTTTCAATCAAAGCGATTTTCAGTAAAAATATGGAAGAATCGTCTTTTCCTTTTTCCATCCCTTCTGTATTGCTCACATTCTTTGGAATGAGATAGTAATATATTTTTTAATTTATTTTTAAAAGTCAAATTTTTCAAATATATTTGGTAAATTAATGTTTTTATTGTTTGTCATATTTTTCAGATAATCTTAGTTTCCATTTTTAATTAGAACTAATGAAATTTCAAGAAATTTTTCCTTTAAAGTATTGAATTTAAAAAAAAAAAAAATTAAAAGGAAAGGGTACTCGTTATCCATACCCAACCCGAATACCCGATTAAGCGGGTAATCCCCTCCCCATTCGGGGTGGGATCTCATGGGTATCGGGTTCTTTTGTCATCCCTACTTCTTCACAAGAATTTGTTCCAAGCACCAATGACATCCATCGTAGTCCATGTCAACCCGCTTCCCCAATTTCGCATTCTACGAATGAGTGCATCAGTTGGCAGTCTTCTTTTCTCTATTCAGCCAACCATTTTGCATAATTTTCCAGTTGAGTGTGTCAAGTCAGAGGAAATTCCAGTTTTGGTGCTTGTGTACATACAAGAATTGTATTGTCTATCCGATGTAATTCTAGAATAGCCTCTTTGAGATTTTGTTCATAAGATGTCTTTTCCAATTCAGAACTTGATCAATTTCTTCGGCAATTCAAAACCCAATCAATTTTTTCCCCAAACTCATTTTTCATCCCATATCAATTTCTCCTCCAAATCAATATTCTCACAAAAACGTATCACCCTCTAATTGAAACGAGGTTCAGAGAAAATTCAGAAATTTTTTTGTGATTTGAAATGTAGGATAAGAGTAATGGGTTGGTATGGTGTTTTAAATGTGTTATTGGTAGGTTTATATTGATGTTTTGGTATTTGTATATTTGTGATAATGTAGTAATGTTGACGGTATTGTGTAAGTGTCGATTATTTATTAAATGAAAGCATATGTTTTTGATATTTTTAATGAAATGGATTCCTGTTGGTTTACCTTATGATATTCAGATACTCTCTCTCTCTCTTCTAATTTGCAAATTGCTGAAACAACATAGCGAGAGTCTTGTTGCAGTTTATGTGATGCTGAAATGAGAGAGAAAACTTGAATCAATCCACTGTTGCAGTTTATGTGATCCACGTGTCCTTTTTTAACGGTGTCACTGGTCACGTGTGATTTCCATCCGTCACATAGATTTTTTTGCTTAGTTGGGTGGACATAATTGAAATGGGTGATGAATGAGTAATTTTTTTAAAAGAAGGTGAGCAATCAGTAACTCTTTATTTTTGGGTGAACAAGTAGTAACTAAAGACAAATATTGTTGATTAATGATTTAATTAACTCGTAAAAAAATCATAAACCTCATAGCAAGTTTTTGAAGTTTACCCTTCATACTAATATTAGGAGTAAATAACATTCTGAATTTCTAATTTAATATCACATTAACGTCACATAAATTGATTTGTAACCTCAGTGTGGATGAATAGCATTAATCTTTTCACTTTGTAGCAATTTCATGCTCATTCAATTTTTATATCTCCTGTCATCCCTAGCCATAACTCTTATCACCGTTCAAGGAAATGGCGGTGGTATAAGAATTGAATGGGGACGAAATTGTTACACAATGAAAATGTAGACCTCAGCCTAATATTAAATAAAAAGTATATTATCCCCTCATTAACAATATATTTTTAAATCTTTGTCAAAAATAGTACAATTCCTAATTATTTACACTAAACAATTATTTATTTGCAGTGACGACACCTGTTCCTTCAAAATATGTTTGATGTGTGTTACAATTCGCCTTAACGCTGAATTCGAATGGCAAACAAATTTGGTTGGTCCACGCCGATTGCCCATCCCAATCGCCCCGAATGACTCTAGCGTGTTGTGTTAGAAATTGGATTGAAAATCAGGTTTTTCCCTCAACTTATAAGCATGCTGGCAAATGCATTCATGGCGGAAAAATATCAAACACCTTTCAGGCAATTGTAAAAGAAGATTTCAATGGAGGAACCACTTCTCGGAGGAGACAATTTTATTGTAGCTCCACTAGTAAGTCAAATTTCATTGTTTTCTGGATATCTATCTAGTGAATTTCTAAACTTTAATCTTGTTGATTCCTAAATTTGTAGACAGGAAATCAATGGATCTATCCTCAGATACGCAGATTTCGTCGATCTAAAAGTTCGCCGGAAATGAAAGACATGAGTGGAAACTTACTTCCACGATCTGAATTCCCTCTGCGATCACACCTTCCAAGTTTCAAAACAGTAGCTATTTTCTTCTTGTTGTACGTGGCAATAGGTTCTGTATGCTTTTACTTCCTTAGGGACCAGATCAAAGGACAGAAAACAAATGGAATTCTAGATTCTGTTTATTTTTGCATTGTGACAATTACCACGGTTGGATATGGAGACCTTATGCCAAGTAGTGTATCCACAAAACTACTCTCGTGTGTATTTGCTATCTCAGGGGTGGCTCTGGTTGGTGTAATTGTAAGCAAAGCAGCAGATCACCTAGTAGAGAAGCAGCAAAAAATGCTTATTGATGCATTAGACATGCGTCAAGAACTTGGTCGGACTGAAACTCCGGTGGAGATTGAATCAGACAGTGTGCAAATCAAGCGTATGATAGACAGTGTGCAGTACAAGTGTTTTGTGACGATAGTTTTGCTAGTGGTGCTCGTTATTATCGGGGCGGTCCTCCTAGCTACGATCGAGAAATTAGACCTTGTTGATGCCTTTTATTGTGTATGCTCTACGCTTACGACCTTGGGGTACGGAGATAATAGCTTCAGGACCAAAGCCGGGCGCATTTTTGCTATATTTTGGATTTTGGCAAGCACTCTTTGTTTGGTTAAGTTGTTGTGGTACATCGCTGAAATTAACACAGAAAGAAGACACGGAGCATTCAAGAGGTATATTACACAGAGTAATGCTATTTAGTTCAATTGGAGTTGCAACCACAATTTATGTGATGTTGATGTGGCATTTAATAATAAGTGAAATTAAATGAATTTCACTTTTCATTTGGTCTATCATCTAGCGCCACTTAAACTATGATTAACATTATTCTATTAAATATAGACCAACAAATTTGGATGTGCAGTTTTGACTTAGAATTGTAGGGCATGAGTTCTCTACAATTTCAATGTTTTGTTTTTTATTACAATAGGTTCATATAAAGTAGAATAATGTTATTTATCATTATAATGATGTAATATCGGTGATGTTGCAATTTAGGTAAAATAATGAATATCTCATTATTTCACATAAGTAACAACGTCATCAATATTTCATTATTATAATGAAAAATAGTGAAAAATAACATTTGCCGATAAAGTGTCATGTGCTACTCAAATTTGAATACTTTCATCTGTTTAACACTTTAACTCCTTATTTTGCATTGTGTGAGAGATAGTGTCAAATCGAAATAAACACCAGGGGCGGAGCCACGTTAGGCCCAGGATGGGCACAGGCCCCACCTCAACTTCTGGGCTCAAAATTTTTTTTGGGCTCAATTTTTTTTTTTTTAAGTTATAGAAGTCTTACCGTTCCAGTCCCAGCCCAAGAGAAAAAGGCCCAAAACTTTGAGCCCAATTCCAAAAATTTAAACCTCATTCACAATTCACAAATCAGTCACGACTCCATCCTCTCCTCTGCTCGCCTGCTCCTGCTCCTGCTCCGCCTCCGCCTCCGCCTCCACAACTCCTCCACTAATCACTGGTTCGCAGCCTGAAGCTTGAAGCTCCGGCAGCTTTGCACCTCGCACCTCAAATCCGGCATCTTCGTAGCTCCGCTCAACAACCACCGTTCAGAACTTCCGTCGAGAGGTGGAGTTCGTGACTGATTTGTACAAATTCTTACACCTAGAGGGAGAAGATGTACCATCTGTCGAGAGGTGGAGTTCGTGGTGGTCATGATCGTAAGTTCTTTTTTCTTCATTTACAAGGTCTTACACCTAGAGGGAGAAGATGTACCATCCGTCGAGAGGTGGAGGTCGTGGTGGTCGTGAGCGTAAGTTCTTTTTTCTTCATTTTCCTCCCCAATTTTAGGGTTCCTATGTGCTATACAAAATCAAGAATTCTTTTTGAATTAGACGTATTGTAATTGCGTGTTAATAAATTTATTTATGAATTTGTGTTCTTGTTTTGAAATTTGGTTTCCCTCATAGTTGCAACAGTATAATTTAAGATTAGGATGTTAGGGTTTGATATGATGAGGCATAAAAATGCTTTCGTTTATACTCTGTATAAGTATTTAGCTGGAGACTTGTGTACAGGTAACATAACTAAGGGGTTGTGGAAAAAATAAAAAAGTTTTGAATGTGAACTTGTGGCGTGGTGTAACAATGAAGGAATGAGTCAATCTTAATGTTAATTTAAGGCGAGATTGGGGTCAATTTACTACCAATTTTGAAGTTCAGGAATGAGAGTTCAACATGTGGGCTAGTTATGATGCTTTAGTTCATCCATGGGGGTTCTGGAAAGAATCAAATTTATTTAATTGCTATCTGTCTTCATCTTCCTATCTGTTCTATTATTATTATTATTTATAAATAAGTACTTTATTTATGAATTTTAGTTATAAGAGGAGTGTTCTTGGAGCAATATCATTAGCGATTGTATGCAGTACTAATGACCCATGTTTCCATGAGTTTGTAGACTACTAAATAAGTTTTACCATGTGGTTTCAGACCTTTTCTACTTGCCTAATTTTTTCGTTCTTCTGATCCAAATGCTGGCCACTTCTTTACTGCTGTTCCCTTTTTTAACCAGATTTTGGCTATTTGAGCTATACTCCGGCATAATTAAAGTCAAGTAACGGGGTCCGAATGACTACTCCAATAAGCACAAAAGTTCATTAGAGTTTGGTAAACTTAATTGAGAGTATCTGACTTCATTTTACTTGATACTTGATTTGGGCTTAACTTGCTTTTACTTTTGCTCTCGGTATTAAGTTATTGTACAATGGTAGTATGAAAACTCGCGAAGAACAAGTATAATTTATAAACTATACCATTTTTAGTATTGTCGTAATATTGTTTTATTTTTTTATCTTCATTAAATTCATGACCAAAAAGTCAAAATTCAGAGTCGACTAAATTGTGCCCACCCTGAACCAATTTTCTGGCTCCGCCCCCGCCAACTCTTGTAAAAAAATGAAGGGTTATGCTACATGTACATTATGGACACCATTATGTGTACCATAATGTACATGTATCATTATTCAAAAAGGAACTAGTTGGTGACTCTTCTTGTTGGTGATGGGCCTCACATGGGCTTTTGGGACCATAAGGATTGTTCAATCATATGGGCCATCCGTTGTATACTTTTTGAGGGAAAATTATCTAGAAACCTATATTTATAATGTGTTTACTTGACTTTATTTTTTGTGAAAATTACATAAAAGCCTAATTTTGAAGATCCCATTTCATAAATCATATAGGCCTTGTATGGGAGGGATTAAAATCAGATTCAAATTGAAAATATAGTCGTTATTGTTGACTTTTATTAGACGAGTGGGACCCAATAACGGCCATATTTTCAATTTTAATTGGCTTTTAATCCCTCCCGAACGGGGCCATATTATGTTTAACATTTCAAAAATAAGATATTTTATTATTTAATATATCATTATTAAATAAATATATTATTAAATAAAATTAATTTATAAAACAACCTACCTCCCTCGATCCCCCCAATTCCCCCCAAACCTTTCTCTCTCATCACTCTCAGCCTCCTCTCTCTCGTCCCCGGCGCAACTATTGTCATTGCTCGACCAACACCAAAATCCCGCTCACCGTCTTCGCCCACTGTCCATGTGAGCATTCTAGTCAGTGCTTCAGATTTTTGGGGTCGTTTTCGAGTCGACTTGCCCTTTCGAAATCTGGCGGGACGAGCTTCGGTGCGGCGACAATGGTGGTGGGGATGTGTGCTATTGTGCTGTGGTGTTGGCGACGTCGTGGGTGTGTGATGGGTTTGATTTTTGGGCTGTGATGGCGGTAGGCGTGTGTGCGTTGCTGGTTGGGAACGGTGGATCTAAAAATGAAAGCGAGGTTCACAGTTGATGGCTGCAATGGTTTTGGCGATCTAGTTTTTAAGCGTTGGTTGTGTCGTTTGCTAGTCATGGCGCCTCTGGCTGTGTGCGGTGGTGTTGTGTGGGGTGTCGATGGTTCTGGTCAGGTGGTTTTGGTGGTGTCGGGGTGTTGATTTGTTTTTTAGATAGCGGTGTTGCCTTCGGGTAGTGTTGGCTGTTTTGGCAGCGACTGTGGTCGTACAGGTGGCGGTCGACGTTGGTGGTAAAGGTGTCGGTGTTAGTAGTGGTTGTTCTGGTGGATTTTTTGTAGTTTTGTTTTTCTGAGTCTAATTAATTTGGTGGATTTCTTTTGGTTTTGAGTTTCTAATCTAATTTCTCCAATTAATTTGGTGGATTTCTGATCGTCGTGGTGTTTGAGTGCGGTGATGTTGGTCGTAGCAACAGTGGTAGTGATCGTAGCGATAGTGCAGAGGTGGTGGGGGTGGATCTAGTCATTTTGGTTTTCTATGACTAAAAATATAATCTGTGACCTTAAAATCTGATAACATGTGACTAAAAAACCAACCATTTCGTTATCTGTGACCTAAAAATTATATAATCTGTAACCGTGAAAAATCTATGATCAAATAATTTGGAAATCTGTGTTCGTGTGACCTTCTGTGACTAAAAATATAATATGTGACCTTAAAATTCGATAAACCGTGACTAAAAATATAATTCGTGACCAACAATTTTGTTATGTGTGACCTAGAAATTATATAATTTGTGATTGTGAAAAAATCTGTGACCAACTAATTTGGAAGTTTGTGACGGTGTGATCTATGAATTTTGATATGCGACCAACTAATTTTGAAATTTGCGACCAACGAATTAATTGTGACCTACAAATTTTTTGAACTGTGACCCTAAAATAGTCTCCGGAATCGGAGCAGTCGTCGGAACGATCATCGAAATATTCGTCAGAGCAATCACCAGAGAAGAGTGGTGACCGGAACCGCCGCCAGAATAGCCCTTGGAGCGGTAGGGATAGAGGAGGTGGGGTGGGTTAATTATATTATATTATAATTAAATATTTAATAAATTTATTTAATAATTTATTAATTCATAAATAACATTAAAAAAAAAATCTGATTTT